TGTTGGTACAGGGCATTGAAGATGATAACAGTGGGTGGATTATATTCTTAAACTTAGTTACAGCGCTTTCAGAAAGACATCTACTTTGATAAAGTCTACTCTCCACCGCTGTGTAATCAATTATTGTTTTTAGTTTGTGTTTTTGGGAGCTGACACAGTCTCTATGGAGATGGGTTTTTGGGGGGGTAGCAGGAGGAGAGCAGCTGCAGAGAGGCGTGTAAGACTGCAACTCTGCTTCCTGGTCCCAACTCTGGATAGTCATATTTTGGGGGGTTTAATGAATTTGTCCATATTTCTAGAAATGAGAGCTGCTCAATCCAAAGTGGGATGGATGCCGTCTCTCCTAACAAGACCAGGTTTGCCAATTATCTATGAAGCCCACATCGTTTCTGGGACACCACTCAGACAGCCAGCAATTTAAGGAGAACATGCGGCTAAACATGTCGCTCCTGGTCTGATTGGGGAGGGTCAAACACTAAGGTCATCACCACAGTCTGCTCCCCGGACATAGAGGCAATGTCTGTCATGTGCAGACCTTTCTACTTGCCCAGAGAACTGCCTGCAGTGCTAATAACAGCAGTCTACATACCACCAGACACTAATGCTAGCTCAGCCCTTGCATACCTGCACGACATTATCTCCGAACAGCAACGGACATACCCAGAGGGAGTACACATCATTGCAGGGGATTTCAACAGAGCATGCTTAAGAACTGTGCTGCCTAAATTTGTACAACATGTGAAATGCCCTACGAGAGGAAATAACACCTTGGATCATGTTTACTCAAATATTAAGCAAGCCTACAGATCTGTTCCCCTCCCCCACCTGAGCATGTCCGACCACCTCTCTCTACTCCTTGTCCCGGCATACACACCACTCAGGAAAAGGACAAAGCCCACCATCAGAACCATTAACACCATTTCTGAGGAAGCTCTTGCTCAATTGCAGGACTGTTTTGCTCTCACAGAGTGGAGTGTCTTTGAACAGGATGACCTACAGACTCACACAACCACAGTGCTGGGTTACATCAAACACTGCATGGACACTGTCACCACGGAAAAGCGGGTCCGGGTCTACCCCAACCGTAAACCCTGGATGACAAGCAAGGTTCAGGCACTGTTAAAGGCACGTAACTCTGCATACAAATCTGGGGACCTCCGAAAAACAAGAACTGATCCCCCTCCCCTATCCATAAAAGGTGACTATGTGGAGAAGGTGTCCTCCTTTAAGTTCCTCGGCACCCACATATCTGAGGACCTATCCTGGTCCACAAACACATCAGCCCTAGTAAAGAAAGCCCAGCAGCACCTCCATTTCTTGAGGGTTCTGAGAAGGAACAGGCTGCAGACTGAACTCCTAGTGTCCTTCTACCGTGCCACTATCGAGAGTGTGCTGGTGCACACCATCCCTGTGTGGTACGCTGGTTGCACAACAGCTGACAAGAAGAGACTACAGAGGGTCATCAGAACTGCAGAGAAGGTGATCGGTTGTCCACTCCCCTCCCTGGACTTAATTGCCAGCTCAAGATGTCTCTCCAGAGCCAGGGCAATTATAAAGGACCACCTCCATCCTAACCACCACCTCTTCAACACCCTGCCCTCTGGAAAAAGGCTCAGATCCATCAGGTGCAAAACCAACAGACTAAAGAACAACTTCTTCCCGTGGGCTATCAGAACTCTTAATGCAAACTAAAAGTGTGTAAAGACTTCCCCAACACATCCACCCTGACACTGCTGCTGATCATCTATGTCCAATATCTCAGTCTTTCCATGTTCTGTGCAATATTTTTAGCTCATGTGCAATTATTTTGGTCCAAACAATGTATATAGTTCCACTCACATATGTATACATATACACTGTTTTTTATTTTATTCTATTTATTTAATTATTTATTTATTTTCCGCCTTTGTTGTATATTGGTTTCTCTTCTTACTTTAGCACCTTTGTGGTTCAGCTACCCAATTTCACTGTGCAAGAAACTGCACAATGACAATAAAAAACTCTAAGTCTCTAAGTCTAAGTCTAATGAAAAGCACAATGGATCCATGCTCTTTACACCAAATTTTGACCATACCATCCGAATGTTGCAGGCGAAATTAAGATTCAGATAAGGCAATTTTTTCCCATCTTCTGTTGTCCAATTTTGGAGTGTGTGACTTGTAGCCTCAGTTTTCCTGTTCTTTGCTGGCATGATTGGCACCCAGCATAGTTAAATTTGGCTACAGTGTGTCCCAGGGGAGTAATTTCCAGGGAGGTTAAGGGGGTTATGACCCTCCCAATAATCAGACCCAACCAATATAACCAATAAAATTATGAATTATCTTGCATATATGGACTGTTGATTTTCTTTACTCGTTTCAGGTATTACCAGCAAAATAGTTGCATGTTTAATCATCCGGGAATTTACCCAGATTTATTTATTTATTTAGACAGATCTCCACCCCCTACAAATGTTCAGCACAAAGGAGGTAAAGGTGGTAGTGGTGGATACAAGGTGATTTTAGTCTTTTTTGCAGAATCTGCATATCTAATGAAATAAAGATGAACTGGGAAACTGGCCTGTTACTGCAGCCAGACAACATTAACCAGACAAGGAAAAATGTAGCACATAAGGAAAAAAAACCCCAAAAGGCAAAATGCTCCAACAAAATATCAAAACAGCAGGAGAAAGGGCAAAATAAAGTTGTGCAATAATCTAATAAAACAGCATTAGATAAAAGTACTGAATGATATTTCAAACCCGGCATGATATCGATTGCTGTCAGAAGCAAAACGTTTCCACTATTATGGTTGCTAATGGAGCACAACTGTAGTTTCAATCATTCAGCAGGTAAATTCAAATAAACTTACTGAAAGTACAAACCTCTTTTGACTTAATGAACTGCTGAGTTTACCTAGTCATTAACGGATTTACCTTTCGGCTGTAAAAGGCTGAGGAGGTATGTCATCACAGACACCCAAGTTTGTGAAAGTGATAACAAGGTGACGTGAGATTTTGAAATTCATATTATACCGATAGGTGTTGGCAGAACAAGCGAAACGCAGCTCAGGCAGTGGCTGAAGTAAAAACTTGGGTGTGGGAGGAGTTCAGAGAAGCCAGGGGAAAAGACTTCTTTGACTCCCTGGAAGAGATTCTGGCAAACTGTCAGGTGACTCATGAGGAAAAAGTGGTGCTCTACCTGCACTGCGTATAGTGGAGTGCTGCTGACTTCAACTGAGAGGGTGTATCAGAGCCCATGGAGATTTATTTTGTCATCAGCAGCCCCCTTAATACAGGCACAAGGTATGCTTATGATGAAGATAAGGAACACCTCCTCCCTAGGGAGAGGGAAGTCTGAGCTTCTCTTCTTAGGCTGCTGCCCCAGCGACCTGGCCCAAGATAAGTGGAAGATAATGGATTTTATGTAGAAGGTTACTTTATGTTGTAAAGATTTACAGTTGTAACAGTATGGATTTTTAACTAACACACTGTTTTTGTGTATACATCCCCAGCTCTTACGGTGAGATTGAGGGTTTATTGCCATTAAACCTGAAAACTTCATCAGTTATAGTGTTATCCTTCATTCAAAGTCAAAGTCAAAGTCAACTTTATTGTCAATTCTGCCACATGTACAGGACATACAGAGAATAGAAACTTCGTTACTCTCAATCCCTAGATAAAATAGAAAATGAACATTTAAATATAAGAGTGATTAAAAATGCAAGTAAAATATTTTAAAGTAAAAAAAAATTAAATAAAATTAAATAATATAATACAATTTTACATATAACAAGAAAGCTATACAATATACAATATAAGGGTAAATGACATTGAGTGCAAACCAGGCAGAGTAGTGCACAACCGTTACACAACCGTTGCAGGAGCTCCGCTAGGGCTGCCCTTTGTCACTAATTCTGTTCATAATATTTATGGACAGAATTTCTAGGTATATTCTAGGTATATAGTTAATTGGTGGAAGGCTTCCATTTAGGTGATCTCAGAATCTAGTCTCTGCTTTTTACCGATGATGTTGTTCTTTTGGCTTCAGGTAGTGGCTTTCACCTCGCCCTCGAGTGGTTTGCAGTCGAGTCTGAAGTGGTGGGAATGTGAATCAGCACCTCAATCTGAGTGCCCACTCCAGGTCAGGGACGAGTTCTTGCCCCAAGTGGAGGATTTTAAGTATCACGGATGCGAACGGCAGAAATTAGCTTTCTTTCTGAAGGGTGGATCATTCGAGTTTGGCCATCCGAGAGTGGCTCAGAGTGGAGGTGTTGCTCCTCCACATCGAAAGAGAGCCATTTAAGTTGGTTGAATTGACAAGGATGCCTCCTGGGTGATGTGCTCCTGCCCCAGGGCAGACCTAGGACATGCTGGAGAGATTATATTTCTCAGCTGGCCTGGGAACGCCAAGGCGTTACCCTAGATAAGCTGGAGGAGGTGGCTAGGGAGAGGGAAGTCCGAGCTTCTCTTCTCAGGCTGTTGCCAAGCGACCTGGCCCAAGATAAGTGGAAGATAATGGATAGATGGAGTTTGAATCCCAGTGACTCTGACAAGGTCAGAGGTCAACTTTTCTGACAATTCATTTCAATTTGATTTGATTTATAAAGCATGAAATCACAACAACAGTCGCCTCAAGGTGCTTTATATTGTAAGGTAGACCCTACAATAATACATACAGAGAAAAATCCAACAATCATGTGACTTCCTGCGAGCAAGCACTTTGGTGACAGTGGGAAGGAAAAACTCCCTTTTAACAGGAAGAAACCTCCAGCAGAACCAGGCTCAGGGAGGGGCGGCCAATCCTCCAGTTGGGGTGAGAGAAGGAAGAAAGCATAAAAGACATGCAGTGGAAGAGAGCCAGAGATTAATAACAAGTATGATTCAGTGTAGAGAGGTCACACAGGGGCTGTATCCCAATTCAGGGTCTGCAGCCTTAAAGGCCGCATTTTAAGGCCGATTACGTCGTAGCGACGCGACGAAGGCTGTCCCAATTCAAAGGCTGCTCGAAATGCGGCCCTCAAATGCATCCTTCATTTCCCTGAACTTTAAGGACGTGGCGGTGTAAACTTCGTGGCCCAAAATATCCCAGAATGTGAGGATAATTTTGCCGAAAAAAAACGGCAGATGAGGGGCGGTTGAAGAGTAAACTTTAAGTAAGTACTGAATATTATGTCACTTATTTGTGTGCAAATGTTTAATAACGAAGAACATTAAAACATTACTGTTGGCCACATGTCGGCAAAGTTATGTGACATTAGTGACGTTTGTACTAACTTGGTTTTAAAGCCTTTACTTTAAAATATACGCTGTTCAATAGCTGACCTTAATCTTACAGAGAATGATCAAAGCTCGTGTAGAAACAAACACAGAAATGAACAAAATATTTTCTCCTTCATTTTTGTCAAACAAAGCCGTATGACACGTTTCCAGCTGTTAGTATCATGGTTGCTAGGCAACCTGAGCAGCGCGACAGAGGCTAGACTGTCCCATTTCACAAGCCTCGCACTTCCGGTCTTAGAGTAAGTGGCCCTTGTGGACCGTTAAGGCTGCGTACTTTAAGGCTACAGACCCTGAATTGGGATACAGCCGGAGTGAGTGAGAAGGGTAACTCAAGAAGAAATACTCAATGCATCATGGGTCAATGAGATTTTCAAGTTTATACCATAAATAAATCTACTAGGAGGCTGAGGGTTAGCACCAGCGACTGCAAGTATTTTTAAACCCCCCAAAAGGAGATTCAACTTCCTAAGATGAATAGTAATTAGAAGAAAATATACTGAAGGCAAAGTTTTTATTATGAATAGCTAATCATTCTTGGTTGTATCCAATCATAATCGTGTCCTTGTTGTTTCATCCAAGTAAGAAACAGTTATTCTGCTGTTTCTCTAACTTGTGCCTCCTCTCTCCTCCTGCCGGTGTTCTGTAAATTAATCTCAGCACAGCATGCTAAAGGATGTCTCACATTGCTAATAAGAGAAGGAAAAACGATACACAATCACTACAAGTGTCATGGTCCTGAGTCTGCTGACTCAGTGTTTTGTGTTTCTTTATACTTTTGTTTATTCTGAGTATGTTTTCTGTTATGATTTGCCATTTGTTAGGTTTCTGTTCTGTGCCTGCCCTGGTCCCACTGTCTGCTTGTGAATATGTCTGTTTAGTTCAGTGTCGTGTCTGGTTCTCTGTGTCTGAGTTTCCTGTTTTATTCTGAAGGTCCACGTCTCGTGTGAGTGTGTTCAGTTTACTTGTCCCCGTCAGCTCCGATTTCTCCCAGGTGTGTTGCCCTCGGGTCTCTCATCCCCTTATTACCGGTGTGTGTATTTAAGCCCTGTGTGTTCTCCAGCCTGTTGCCGGTTTGTCTGTGTCTCTCTGCCCCGCACCCCGTTTCTTATGCTCTCAGGTTTGTCATTTAGTTTTCCCAGTTTAGGTTTCTCCAGTTGTTTGTCATTCCTCACCGTCTGTTCTGTCACTGCCACTTCTGTAAATAAATGTCACTCTCATCACCAGTCCACTGCCTGAACTCTGGTCAGAGTAAGTGCTGATTCAACTTCAAGTAAAAGTGAAAAAATTCAGGCTCTGAACTCAACATAGAAAAGTAAACAGCAGCTCTTTGGAGGATATTTGTTTCAGGTAATGGCTGCCCAGCTAACTGGACCTCATGCCATAGTAAAATGAACACAGTACAAGAAAATACAAACTGTATTTCATCCTAAATTTAAATTCTTCAGTTTGAACATCTGGTATCCAGAACACAAAGAAAGAAAAAAGGGAATTAAAGAGCTATATTTGCTGTTGCCTACATTGTAGATGACTTTGTCTCCACAACAGGTTCGACATGTGTGGGAAACCTAAGATCGGGTGTAGTGGTGGATAAAAAAAACAAAACAAAAAACAAACAAACACAGAAATAAGTAGCAAAGCATTTCTACAGTGACCTTCAGTAGACTTTGTGTACAGGCTTTGCTGTGCTGAGCTGCTTCTGGCTTTTGTGGATTTAGTCAAGTGAATTCGACAAGATAAAAGCAGATGTTTAACAAACCATCATGATTTCCCAACCCCGGGCAGTGTAGAGCTGGTATAAAATGGGAAAACAGTGAGTGGCTCTAATCAGCATCATCAGTTTTAATTCAAATTGATGTCTGCTATGTAACCTAACACTGACGATGAAGAACACCGCCGCTTTGTTTTAAGACTGGCTGTGTGGCGGACAGGAGCAGGACTCACAAAGCAGAACTAAGAGACGAAGGAAGAACTAAAAGCAACTTTAACAAGGTACAAATTAATGGAGGTCAAACACAGAACCCAAAACTATCAAATGTCGAGGGAAACAAGGAACACAAGACGCACAAAGCATGAAGGACACCACAACAAAGGGAGACTGAAACAACAGACACACACAGTAATGAGGGAACATGCAACAGGTGGGAGAAAAGCTGAAACCAATTACTGAAGAGAAGAGAGAACAAAATACAAAGAAAAATAGACAGGCGGTCACCAAAATAAAACAGGAAATGACTGACACTGAGACCCATACTGAGACACACAAGCTTGACACAGGCAGAAAAAACGCAGAGAAGACCGAGGGAACAGAATGGGAACGCCAGAGGGGCTGACCTAAGGATTTAGAAACTCAGAACTAAAGGCATGAAACCACAGCATTGAATGGGACTGGTACCAGGTTTAAAGCATAGTGTTTTGTTAAAAAATAAAGTGGCACAGCGGCACTGTGGTAAAGGCCTGTGTTTTTACCATCAGCGTGACAGCACCGTGCCGCCTTTGCAGTTTTAAGGCACAGGGAAACAAGCCTGCCAGCGCTCTGTAGCGGCTGTGACCGCTGCCGATAAGGAAAGGCTGCTCTTCATAGAGGACTCAAGCTCGGGGAAACGTTTTCTGGTCGACTCTGGCTCCCAGAAGAGCCTCTGGAACTCTTGTGTCGTTTTTACAATGGTATATTATTTAATCTCAAAAAAATAAAAAAAAAATAAAAAATTGGAGATTTCCCGTATCACATAACATGTGCAGGTACACTGGTACAGCACATGTGAGCGAAATTCTTATGTGTGTGCAACAGAGGTGTGCAAAATACAATAACATAAGAACAAGCAAAATATACGAATGGGTAAATCTGAGAATTATAAGAATAAATATA